TTTATTATTTAAATCATCTGTTCTTGAATTGCTGAATTCTAGAAGAAGAAGAAGAAGAAGAAGAAGAGAAGAAGGCAACACAGCGCTAATAATTACTTCAATTCAAACTATTTATTAAAAGCTGCAAGATGGATGCTGCCTAGCCTGAATCAGAATAAAAATAAAAAAGCCGATCTCCTCATGAATATGCCAAATTTCAGAGGGTGCCATCACCTATGAAAAATATGCTGCATATTTACACTCTAGATTCATATATATTTAATTATTTTTTGATTTTTTATACCCACCGCTGATGGGGGAATACTTATTTTGTTTTTGTTCATAATGTATGTAACACCCAAAGGGGGGAAGCTTCTGTAAAGTATATATTACATTAGATCAGCGTGAAATTTTGAATTGATAAAGCCATGTCTGTTTGTCTGTACGGTGATTGTTGCTGATAAAAGTCAGAAGGTTGAAATTTTTCACATCCACTTTACGAAGCATTGTTAAATTTATGTACAAAAATTGAAACAATCGGTCGTGTCCGCACAAACTTACAAGTGCTTATATATCTTTTCATTATTTTTGTCAAGTTTTATGCTTATTTAACATAACGTAAACAAGATAGACTGTTTAAAACTATTTCATACATTCCTCGAATGAAGATATATGATCTGCCTAAAAATGGGTTAATTCTAAATTGACTATGGTGGACACCGCAACCTGATGGATTAATTTTTTCTTAATAATACCAGCGATATGGGTATCAAATAAAAGAATTTCGCGAGTCGAATGCAAAAAGCATAGCGATGCGTATGCGAGATTTGGTCTCCGCCTAATATAAGTTTCTTACACGCTTTTTTTTATACCGAGCCCCTGTAAAACTAGTGTTCTATACTTATATTTTCAAATCATCAAATGAGAAAACAGACGGTATACAAGATTCATCATCTTCTGATTCGTAACAATCAGATTGTTTCCTTTTACTTTTACCTGCTGCTGATAGCGAGTAACATGCTGTCGCATTACATTATGCGTGAAAAATTCGATCAGCAAGTCAGCTTTGAAATGGAAAGTCTTATAGTTTAGTCTATAGTCCTATAGTTAGTTAGCCTATAGAAAGTTAAATACATGAAGAAATAGTCTTAATACTCTTGGAAACATAAAAAGATTTAAGTAAACATTATATTGCGCGCATATATACAAAGAAGTACAGCAATACTTAAAGCAATGCCGAACTATTTAATTTTTTAACAGAAATGTTTACAAATTTACACACCAACGCCCACGCATCCATAAATGCATTAAAAGCATGCATTTTTATGTTTATGTTTATGTTTAAAATTTTGTTATAATACATCAATATATTAAAACTATATCCAACATCCCAAAAGCGTTTGTAGTGAAAACGACAAAAGTTAATAAAAACAACTGAAAAAAAAAAAAAGAAAAGAAAAAGCAATAAAAAAACGCTAATAAACAACAACAAAATTTTCAACAGTTTGAATGAATTGCAATGAAACTCCAAACAAAATTGACGTGTATATATATGTATGGTTCAATGAACGCTTGGCCTTGAGAGACGAAAATTCAATATCATCACACACATCTATAACATTCGCACAGAAAAAAAAAAAACGTAAAAACACTTTACTCGGCATATAGACGAAAATCTCGTAAAACTCACAAATCCACAACGCATTTACCACCAGACGTTAAACAGAGCCAAAATAAATAAACAAAAAAAAAAAAAAAAAAAAACGACAACAACACCATTTGGATACTGGCTGAGTAGCTTTATTGTGATACCAAAAAAGCAAAAAAAGTGAAGAAAAAGAATAACAAAAACAATGATGCCGGCAACAACAACAACAACAACAACAAGAGCAATAGCAAATAAAATGAAAATTACACAAAAATTATGGCAGTGGAGTAGATTTATAGGCCTTTAAAGAGTAAAAGAAAGAGAGAGGATCCATTAAGGCTGCAGGAGGCATCAACGACAGTATAGCCATGGCAAGGAATACCAAAACGTACGAAACTGAAATTTTTTGTGCACAAAATCAAAAAATAACATAACAAAAATGCGAAAAGGCAACCAAACCATTTTTCACATGGTCGCCGGTCGTAGATCGATAAATTCACATTAAACAAGTTTTTTGTCTTGCGTTCAGAAAACGAAAAGAAAACCGAAAAAACAGGAAATTTTGGCAAAGTAGACGCATGCGGGCCTGATCGCAAATATACAGGTACACGCACACACAAGCTTCACATTTGAGCATGCACACAAAAAACAGAAACCTACCACAACGCAACAGCTATTGGGCTACGAATTGATCAAATTGTTGTAGCAATTACGAGTATCAACCGATCAACAACATTGTACTTGAACTCCAAAGCAAGAGAATCCAAAAATAACATAAAATAAAAAAAAAAAAAAAAAAAATGTTATTAAAAAAATTTTTGCATGTGAGTGTGCCTAGTACGTGAATAACTTGATCCAATTTTATGCGAATTTAATAAAAACTGACATGCAAACCGTAGATATATGGTATAAGCACATCTGCATATGCGTATATATGGTTATAAATGTATGCGTGCGTGCCTATGTAAGTGAGCATATGTACGTATGTACTATAGAATGAAATGGATATGTTAATTTCCGAAAAAAGAGAAACCAACACATGTGCATATGAGCACCGTTCAAAAATCAACTCATGCATTGAAAGCCTCGCTTCATTATACCGAAACCCAACCGAAAACGAAACGAAAATAAAGCACATTTACACAAACTAAGGCACAAAAATTTTTGTGCATATTTTGTGGTCACTGACCGTCCTCAAGGTTTTTTATATTTCGTATGTCTTTTTTGTGTCTTTTTGTGTCATGTCCATGGCTTAGTACACATTGTCTGTCAGTAAATGAATGAAAGAGTTAGTTAGTTAGTCAGCAAGTGAGTTAGCGAGTGAGTGAATTTGCAACCGGGACAAAGACTGAACGCATTTACAAACATGCTCTTATATATAACATACACATATAAAAAAACAGAACATTTGCTTAAGATACCGTCCGATCCATAAAGTATTTTCGTTTCTTTCTCATTTTTATTTATTTATTTATATTTTTATTTATTTTTTTTTTTTATTTTGCATTTACGAGCTGTGAGCGCGCAAATTACAACAAACACGCCATCATTTCAACCGACTACCATCATCATAATGGTTTAATGCAGTAGACACACATATGAAAGTATGTGTAAATATTACTTAACGCAAATAAAAAAAAATAAAAAAAAAAAAAAAAGGAAAAAATCCATGAGTTTTGTGCCTATAATGTCGCCTTCGTTCATGTGCGTATACATATACATATATCCCCATCAAGTATAAAAAAAAAAAAAAACTAAAAAAAAACTAACAAAAATACAAGAAGAAGGAAAACATCACGAATTGACGAATGTGCATAAAGCAAATATCAACAACCAAAACATAAATAGTTATTCCAAAAAAACGAAGCAAAAAACCAAAAAAAAAAAAAAAACGAAAAGAAAAGAAAATAAAAGAAAATAAAAAGCCAGCACGCACATCAGCAAAACAGCACGTTTCAAAAAGTCCAAGTTTTACTAACGAGGGGAGCAACTTGTAATGCGTGTAGTTTTCTTGCGTTGTTCTTGCTGTTGCCGCTGTTGTTGTTGTTGTTGTTGTTATTATTGCAGTATTAAAGGGGCATGACATTCTTTTCGTTACGAATTTCAACATCGTTGCGCAAACGTAGACTCGACAATTCAACTTTTTGAGCCCTTCTTTCATTCTTCTATTCCATGGGCCTTTTTTGGTTCGATTTTTTTCTGCTTATTCTCTTCATTTACACACACATATTTATGTAAACTTTCAATGGATAATTACGTAGATGTTATATTAACTTTTCTTATAGAACGCATTCGACAACATAAGTCAAAACGTTTTTTTTTTTTTTTTTTTTTTTTTTTTTTTTTTTTTTTTTTTTTTTGTAAATTTTATTACTTCAATGTAAGTAGAAATACTTGCTTTAGAATTTACGCATGGCTTGATGAAAAATTTAATTGCAATCATAACATAAGCTGATCGACCAAATTTCAACTTCGTAAAGTTGTTTACTAGGAATTGTAAAACCGCGAAGAATACTTTAACTAAATACGTTTTAATTTTACCTTGAAAGAGGTTTTAATTATATTTAGTGTAACCGAGTATTTCGCAGAATTTTTCGAATACAAATCTATTTCATAGGTTTTAAACTTAAAAAAAATAAATAAAAAAAATCCTCTTTTTACCATAAAAAATTTCAACAAACTTCGTAAATTGTTAAAGTATTAATGGAGGTTTGGGTGCCACCATTATGACCATGACTTGAAAAGCGCACGACCACACGAAAATAAAATCGCATTACTTTATGCTTACTCTCCTGTATCAATAGTATGCAAGAATATGCCAAGTGCATATGATCCTTAGATCAATCGGTGGACATTTTTTTCATTTTCAAACTTGATCTCTTAAGACCCAATATTCTCTCCATATATCTTATTATTTGTGACGGCCACGTTTAAGAATTTTACATTGAACAAAAATGCATAAAAAAATTATATGGAAATGGAGAGCAAGTAATTTTAGTTAATGTCAACCAAAAATTATACAAATGTAGAATATTTCTATAGATAGACTCCAAGAATAATAAAAATTAAAAAATATTACTAGACGTATTTTTATTTATAATACATAACTTAATTCTTCTTCTTATTTGGATAATTTAGAATTTTCGATTTTGTCGTTTGGGTATAAATACGATTATAGCTAGCAATCGAAAAAAATGTGTATACCATTGTTGACAAATTGCTGGCCTTCAAATGAAGGAAATGTAAATTCCCAAGCGACCCGTCAAACAGTTTAATTTAGATTGAACAGCTGATTAGGACGAATGTGATTTGCTAATCTCAGAAAAATATAAAAGCTGAAGAATCGTGCGCCGGGATTCAATACTTATTGAAAAATAAATTTTATTTATTTAAAAATCAAAATTTTACTTACGCAAAAGCGAGTTCTCTTGCAAGGCACATATTGGAAGTTCTATGTTTGCGAAAAAATCAAATAATCGGAGTTTTTAGGGTAAAAATTTTTTTTATAAATGCTTTTTAATGCAGCTTTAGGGAAACCAATTTAAAAAGCATATACATATTTTTTTTTTTTTGCAGTATTTGATAATAATTCGGACAAAATAGAGGCAAAATGGAAGTTGAAAAAATTATAAAAAATTTATTATGCTCAGATAACAATCGCATTAAACAGGCGTCTGCTGATCTCCGTGTAGCGTTGAGAAATCCAATGACTTTCTCAGCATTATGCGAGATAATTGGATCACACGAAACATCCGAGTTGCGGCAATATTCAGCGATATTGTTAAAAAAACATTTAGGAAAATTACACAATTGGCAAATGCTTACCCTGGAGCAACAATTAATTGTGAAAAGAGTAATAATGAATGCTTTGATTACCGAGAAAGAGAATCTTGTGCGTAATGCTATTGCGCAATGCGTCGGCGCATTGGTTCGCCATGACGCTAATACAACTTGTTCATGGATGGATGACGTGCTTAAACTTGTCTACACCCACTGTAGTTCGAGCGATACGAAAGATAGTGAACTAGGATCATATGTGTTTGCTGCACTAGCCGATGTCGCTCCCGATCTATTTGCGCCATATATGAAGTCTGCTTGTGAAATGTTTATGGCCGCATTTACGGCTGCTGAAGCTAGTGGTAATAGGACATCGCAAGTTATATTAAATATTTTTTCCGGCATGACATATTTGGTACCCTTTATATTGGGTCACAATATTGCAAAACGTACATATCAAAAAGGTATTCCCGTTATAGTTAAATACCTGCACAATTTTGCTTTTCAACTTGATTCGTTTCAATTCGTGAAGGCTTTTCAAATATTAGATAGCATGGCTGATCACACGCCGAAATTACTAACAAATTATGTCAAGTTAATAGTGAATTTTTGCCTCGAGTTAGCTGCAAATCCTCAGTTAGCTAACGCAGTTCGAGTAAAATCTGTCGCTTACGTTGGTCGTCTAATTCGATTAAAAAAGAAAATCATTATCAAGCAAGAGCTTATTGAACACATAATTCAAGTCGTTTTTAATTTAATGACCATAGAAACGGGTAGCTGCTGCGGCGATTACGATACGTATTTCTTAGACGAAGATAATTCAAATCCAACGGCTGCTGCTATGCAAACAATGCAGTTGATGGCTTCGAATATTCCGCCTGGAAAATTTATTTCGCCATTGTTGCAATTAGTGCAGCCTGCTTTGAAGAAACAAAATCCACTATTCCGTCGCGCCGCTTATCTGAGCATGGCTTTTATTTTTGAAGGTTCCTCGAAAGCGATGTGCAGCAAATGTTTAAATAACAATTTAAATGTTGTGAAGGTAGGAATTACTGACATTATACCTGTGGTTCGAAACGCAGCCTTTTTTACGCTGGCACAATTTTCGGCACATCTGCAAGAGGATATTACTAGGTACACTCCACAAATTCTGCCCATATTTCTCGAATGTCTTCAGCAATTGTGCAACGAACTTAGGAGCGGCTCTACCGAACCGAAGCATATTAATGGCATATTTTATGCTCTGAAAAAATTTTGCCAGAATGTAGAAATCGTCTTAGGGCCAGATTTACATCTATTAATGGGAAGCGTTTTAGAAATTTCGGATCTCAAAAATTCGCTACACGTTCGGGGATTGGCACTTTACGCTATATCTGCTGTGTCTACTGCCGCTAAGGCGAATATGCTGCCTTACCTTCAGCAAGTGATTGCAATACTGCAGATATATATTGTGAAAACTGAAAGCGAAAACATTTTGCCATTACGTCCACAGGCCATTGATACATTAGCGGTAATAGCTCTTAAAATTGGTAAAGAAAATTTTATGCCTTTAGTATCTGATGCGATGGGCATTGTGTTAACTTTTTTGGAGGGAGCTAAAGATGATCCAAATTTGCGACGCGCTCTTTACAATCTGATTGCATCGCTTGCTGAATTAATCAATGAAAAAATGGCTTCGGTTTATCCAAGATTCATCGAATATTTATTTCAATCTATTTTGTCAACAGGGGAAGTAATTCACGAATATAAAGAAGATATTTTTCATGTACATATGCAAGAGAACGCAGGCAGTGAAATTGGCATTGGCGATGCGGATCAAGAAGATGATGAGTTGTTCGCTGAGTATAGTGTGGACAATTCTTTACTCGACGAGAAAGAACAAGCTATATGGACTTTAAAGAAGCTTGCCGATCATACAGGATCAGCTTTTTTACCGTATCTTGATCAGTCGTGCCAGAAGGTCTATGAAATGATTGATCATCCCCAAGAGGATATACGAAGAGTGTGTATTAATGCTCTTACTAGCTTTGTAATTGTTCGTTTTAGAGAGCAAAATGTACATGATGGTAGTTATGCTCTTAAAATATTGGTACGTAAATTGGGTCATATCGTGCGTGAAGATGAGGAAGCGTTTGTTGTGTACGCAGCTTTGCAAAACTTCTCCGATCTCCTAAGGGAATTAAAGCAGAATATATTGTCTGCTGAAGAGATACGTGAGATAATGTTCGCCTGCATCAATGATGTGCTACGCAATAAGGTCACGTGTTACTTTTCAACTAGCAACGGTGCTGAAGAAACTAAGGCAAGTGACTATGAAGAAAACGTTGTAAAAAGCGCTGGAAATTTATTACCCCTTTTTGGTCTTGCAATGTCACCCGAAAAATTTTTTATATATTTTCAACTTATATATCCGATAATCGTTGCGAAATGTGAAAAAGGGAAAAAGAAGAAAGAATTGCAATCGCAAAGGGCGTTTGCGTATGGAATTTTAGCTCAATGTTTTGCCGCACTACAGACATATACGTGCACATATTTCGATATATTTTGTTCTCTTATGATTGAAGGTCTAGCCGATGAATTTGACCAGGCACGTCAGAATGCTGCATATGGCTTGGGCGAATTAGTCTTATATGCTGGAGATAAATCATTTCAAGTTTATCCTCACATTTTAACGGCACTTTCACAAGCTGTTTCAAAGGAATTTGAGCCGGCCGCTTTAGATAATATTTGTGGAACGATTGCCCGTCTTATTATCACAAATTGCGATTTAGTTCCCTTAAATGACGTATTGCCTAAGTTCTTGCAGAATTTACCGTTACGCAAGAATTTCGAAGAGAACACTTTAATTTTTAAATGCTTTAAGCTTCTCTATATGCGAGCACGTGACCACCTCGTTGACTTATTGGAACGCATGCTTGCGATTGCAGTACATGTGTTGTATAATAAACAATTTACTGATCAGGAAACGTTCAACAACGCTATTGAATTTCTGAGGGAAATCCGTGATAACTACCCTGAAACATTTAATGCGGTAGCATGTTTTAATCCAGAAATCCTATCTTTTTTCCAGACACTATAAGCAAAGCAATTAAGTATGTAAGGCCTGTTCTTCGCCCTTAAACCGTTACAATATCTGATATGTAATATTATTTTTTTTTTTTTTTTTTTTTTTTTTTTTATTTTGTTCCCATTTGTTATTTTATTTAAACAGACCACTTATAGATATAGAATATTCATTTTTTTCTTCCCTTTTTGTGCGTTACTTTTATATATCATGAATATTATTAGTTCTTGTCAGCGATTATATTTCTGTGCTTACGAATAAATTACAATTGTTACACAGTTTCACTGTTTTGTTTGTTTCAAACTTCACAATCCTTGTACGTCTATAGATAGCTCTGTTCACTCATTAATGCTCGGTATTCATACAAATTGAATCAACGATGAAAATGTTACCAATTCGTTAATTGTTATTGTTTTTAGTTTTCGATTTAGAATTCAATTTAAACAGTTTCTCTAAGAAAAGAAAAAGTTGCATAACATTTCATTTTTAAAGTTTCGAAACAATGGGGCAAACAGCACTGATCTTTTCGAAAGAAAGATTTGCTTTATTAAGTGAGCATAGGTCTTCGAGATGATTGTGGAATTTGTCTTTGTGATGCTTAGCTAGAATTACGATTTTTTGGCAACATCAAGAAAATCTTCATAGTATTTTTTGTTGATAGATGATGAACTAGATATGGGATAAGCAACATGTACGGTCCTATTTCAGGACACAGTTGTCAAAAAATAACAAAGCAAACGTTTTTCGTTTCGGTTTTCTTCGGCAGCTAGGAGATTAAAGGTCCACTAAACTATCCCTTTCGGCATCATACTTGCGCACAATCGATCCTGTGTCATCAACAATTCTTCTTTTGCTCACCGAACAGCGACTTTAGTATACTGGGCAATTTTTTCAAAAGCTTTCCCATCTTAAGATGTATATTGATAATTTGTTGTGGGTACTTTTCAATACGTACAGCTTGACGGGGAGTAAGGATGTATTCAACGCCCGGAAGGCATTGAGATAGACTCGCCTTTGATCAGAACAGAAAACGATTCGGGATCGATTCAAACTTGCCTGTCTTTCTGTCCGCCTTGTTCTCTTGTGTCCAATCCACAAGTTGCGATTTTTGAGACGTTCTAAATGAAATTTACAGGCTCACGTATTTTGTGTCAAGCACGAAAGCTATTGAAAATATTTCGAATCGGACCATATATCGATCACTTCCCATATAGAGTCCTATTTGGAGAAGTTAAATGAACAACTGTGTGTGGCGATGGAAGGCATTTAATGGTAGGCCATGGCGCACTATAATGTTTTTATTTGTTTTTCAACTCTTTTTTTTTTTTGTTTTTTTTTTCTTCCATTTCGCTTTTACTTGAAACCTTGAAAATCCTTGCAGAATTTCAAGCAATATCTAAATCTATTTACTAAATCTAATTTACTTATTCATCCATTATTACCGAAACTGAACATTTAACATAAGTAATAAATATATAAAATGCACCATAAACGATAGACTGACTGTTCGATTTGCATAAAAGCCTATAATTTGCCTAATTGCATAACAACGTACACGACCAGGTGGCGTTCTACAATTTTTATCTTTTCTTCGTTTGCATTTTAGTGTTGAATACAACAAAAAAAAAAAAAAAAGCAAACTTCCTTTCACTTTGCTATTTTAAATTTTCTTTAATTTCAGTTAAAATTAATTATTACTTTTTTTAAAATACTTAATTACTATTTAATGACCATTTATTTAATGTGTCGCAAAGATCGTATGCCTAAGAATGTATTCCACTTTTCAAAGACATTGTCATCATCATGCAGCATCTCAATAACAATTGTCTGTCTGTTATATACGTTGCAGTTGATGTTATTTTTGTTATCATTTGCGATCATATAGATTGCGAATTTTAATAATTTCATGTATATATATATATATATATATGTGTGTGTATTTGTTTTTACATGTTCACGCTGTCGACTGCTGTTACGATTGACGTTCCGAGATCGTTTTGAACGTTAAAATAAAACTAACGAAGAATATTTTTTCTCCTTTTTTTTTTTTTTTTTTTATATATCTGTTTAAAACTTCCCTATTCTAGTTCGAGAAGCTTTCGATGTTTGCGTGAATGTCCATAAAAATATAATAAAGAACCACACGTGTATCCAAATAAACACAGATACACACATACTCACATATCTATACATATGTATATGCGCAGATATGCGAATATATGCATAGAGGAGAAAACTAGAAAAGTAAACTACTGCGTTGATGTGATGTAATGTGAAGTGTATATGAAAGAAGTTAAAAGAAAATACATACACATATGCATATATACGTAAGCGCAACAACGCACAAGACAGCTGCAACGTCATCATGCATCGGTCACAACCACTAGTAAAGAGCAACATCATCGGCATCCATACATTTTGCTTCGCATGCGCCACACTCCGCAGCATATTTCTAGATCGGTTCATTTAATGCAATTCTATTCTCTTTATATATGTATATATATATATATATATATATATATATATATATATTCTAGTTAGGTGCATATGTATGAGTCTGCCTTTATCTGCGTTTACTATATGCATTGTTATAACGTATTGTTGTGGCTTCTGTTGTTTTTGTTGCTATTTTATTTTTCACATGTCGGTGCAAATTTGTTTTTTGCCATAGTTTGGGGGTAAGTAAAAAAGCAAAATAATAAAAAAAAAAAAACCAACACTACAGCGGCAACAACAACAATAATAAAATATTCTCAAGGCATTTATTTAGAGAATCATTCTTTTTCGTTCGAGATGGAGGGACTATTAGATGAATGGACGGATGTTGTACATATATAAATATATATAGATATATATATATATATATATATATATATATATATATATATATATACTTTTTTTAACATCATAATTGCATGCTGTACATTTTTTTTTTTTTTTTTTTCTTCCTTTTTTGTTATTATTATTAATTTTTCATTCAGTTTATGCCTCTCTTTCAATAACTACTGATGGTCTGATAGTTTAGTGACAGCAAAGAGTGATCAACAGTAGCAGCATTTAACATAAACTTGCCACGAAATTTATGTAGAAAATGTAGGAATGGTGGGCGTGTCTATAGCAGACATAAGGAAAATTGTTGTTTATACCACAAGTTTATGATAAGTTTTAAATTAATGAAAACATTAATAGAGAAGAACAAGTTTTATTCGATATACGATGAAAGGCAAGCAGATGAGAAATTATTTTACTTTTAACCAAAAAATAATAAAATTTACAAGAATTATTGTCAAAAGATTAAAACGTTCAAAAAGTATCTTCCAAAGAATGCAATTAACTTTATAAAGAACGATGACTACAAGTTTCTTCTTATATGTTAGATACACTTTTTCTAAATCAATTCAATTCAAATTGAAAATGAAGTAGAAATGATGTCTAAAAAGCCAGCTTATCTGATAATAAAATTTGAGATTTAAATAAATTGCGTTTCGTTTCGCATTTTCACAGTTCATAAGAGAGAATAATGGAAGTCCCCTTAAGGCAGCAAATTATTGTAAATTTTTCAAAAAATCAATTTTCTTTCTCTTTTTTTTTTTTGCTGAATAAATACTTGGATCTTCTAGAATACGTGGGAAAAAATCCATTAGCCACAAGCCATTTTTTGATTGCAAAGTTTGAGTTATCTTCCATGCGCCACGGCAAGAATACTTGTGTCAACTGGATTGCAGTTGCCAAGATGCAGATTAATTTCTTGCCTTTTGATTTCTACCTTCTCTGAGGCCTTAACAAATGTTTGTGAAAAGTGTTCAATTCAAAAAAAATTCCAAAAATGAATAATTTAGTGTAACTTCTTGAAGGTAATGTTGAGGTGCTGCCTTTGACAGATCCCGCAAAACGAGGCAACTTTCCAGTAAAAGATCCTTAAGGAAAGGGAAAGAAAATGAATATTTGTACTGAGAAGAGCAGTTTTATATTTCCCGGGCCGCAGTCTAATAGAACAAAATAATAAAATGTTTATTGTAATAGAGAAACTTGTCTATTGCGTAACTTGTTTAAATCGCCTTCGTGTGTTTCAAGAAGTTTTCTCAAAACGGGGCACAGCAAAATTCAAAGCACTTTCATCTTTTTTTCTTTTGAATTTTTTACATTTTCTAGAGAAATATGTATGAGTGTATCGGCAAAATAATTTCGAGTTCCTTCCTTTTTAAGGCTAACTATTTACAGAATATCTCCTGTAGGCGTAATGAGGAAAGAGAAAAAAATGGGAAGGTAATGATCGCAACCTAGCGAAAGTGTGCCCATTCGGTCAATTTTATGCCTTTAACAACTGAGTACGGACTAAATCAACGAGCGAAGTAAACACTGCCGCACTAACATTTGAATGTGCAAACTATCACTCGATGGTCGCGATTCTTACCTGCTCGGCTAATCATGCGAATAAATAAAAGAGAATCTTTTTGTGGTCAAAAATTGCACTCAAACACTCGCCATTTACACAAAAGTCAGTATTTCGAGCAACCTCTAGGTACTTCTCTAGGAATTTAGATTAACTGATTGCTATTTTAAAGTTCAATTTGAATCAGTTATTCTGCGTGCCGCAGTGACCTTTGCGCAATAGATTTCCAAGGGGAACGGCTGCAGTGTTACCATTTTTTTAAATTTTTTATGAATTTATTTCTTTTTCTAATACTTCAAGGCACGTTTAATAATCTCCTCAAATAATTATTAGTCTACTGCCTTTCTTTACTTTACGGAAAACCGAGTAAATATGCCTTCTTAGTACCCAGACTTTTACCGAATGCCGCCATTATTAGTCTGTTCAAACGTCAACCCTGTCCAATTAGCCCTGGAAATATAAACGTTCGTGCGATGACTTCATGGAATACCAACGAATGACGTAGGAAAACCTTTCACAAAATCTTGAACTCTTTGAATCGAAAGCTTTATTGGCAAGAGAGGTTAAGAGTCCAATAATATTGAAATGTTATAAGTGGGATTTATTAGCAATAGAGATTCAT